CGTTTCTGCTTCTTTATTATCTTGCTAAGAAAATTACAGAGAGTTTTGTTGAAGGACTCAGTTATTCCATTTGCAGGAGCATTATACATCGAAGACTTATGTTGTGTAAACTTAAACTTTTCACACAGACTTTTCACCAATCTGTTAACGAATTTAATGGAGTGCCATTGTCTGTGATGATGTATCGCGGCACGCCGTATCGATGAATAATATGATTTCTAATGAGATCCACCACATTCTCCTTTTTGACCTCGCGTAGAGGGATGGCTTCTGCCCATTTTTAAAAGTAATCTGTAGCAACAAGGATATATGCATGACCAGCCGACGACTTTGGTGTAATTGGTCCTACAACAACAAGACCCCATGCTTTAAACGGCCAAGACGTCACAGTAGGATGTAACGGCTCTGGAGGTGTATGAATAAAATTTGCGTGAAATTGACAAGCTTCACATTTCTTTGCAAATTCCATTCAATCTTGTACCATCGTGGGCCAATAGTATTCCATCCTTTTGACACGGTCATGTAGTTTTCGGACCAGATTGGTGTGCTCCACAAACTCCTGAATGAGCTTCCTCAATAGTTTTAGCAGCTTCTTCATCTCCAAGACATCTTGACCAAGTTCCAAGGAAAGAGCGCCTGTAGAGTGTCCCCTTATAATATATGAAGCGTGGAGCTCGCCGTCGAATCTCTGTTTTGTGCTATAAATCTCTTGGCAGTCTTCCATTCTCTAGGTAGTCAATGAGTGGTTGACGCCAATCCACTGCGTTTATTTCATAGACCGAAACAATGCACGCATCTTCTGTCTCTTCATCTTCTAGAGAAGTCACTACCCACCTGTTGCAGGCGGAAACTTTCATGCTCTCATCTGCCCCTAGTGCCAAAGTAGCTGCAAGATTTGCAAGAGAGTCAGCTATCTTATTGGCACTTCTTGGAACGTGCTAGAGTTTGACGCTTTCAAATGATTCCAACAATTGTGAAGCGTACTTGTGGTAAGGCTTCAAATCTTCTTTCTTAACCTCATATTCATCAAGAAGTTGATGGATTATCAACATGGAATCTCCATATACATCGAGATCCTGGATGTTCATCCCCTTTGCCATTTGCAATCCCAGAATAAGTGCTTGATATTCAGCAACGTTGTTCGAGCACAAGTTTTCTAGGGAGAATGAATAAGTGAGGACATGTTTCTCCGGTGACACAAGGACAACACAAGCTCCGACACCATCTTGTCGTGAAGCTCCGTCAAAGTATAGCTCCCATGGTGGAAGGATGTCAATGTTAAACACCTCTTCGCTAGGAAGATCGTCCGAAAGCTCCCAATGTGATGGAATTGGGTGATCGGCTAAGAAATCGGCTAGAGCTTGACCTTTAACTGCCTTTTAGGGCACATACGTAATGTCGTGTTGAGTTATGAGCATAGCCCACTTGGCGAGTCATCCATATAGCACCGGTCTTTACAAGATGTATTTGATTTGATCTGCTCTAGAAATGACTCGTACTGTATATGCTTGCATGTAATGTCTTAGCTTTTGAATGGAAAAAATCATAGCTAAGCACACTTTTTCTATTGGAGTGTAATTTAGTTCAGCACCAACTAAGGTACGACTAAGATAGTTAAGTGCTCTCTCCTTTCCTTCTTCATTTTCCTGGGCGAGTAATGCTCCCAGCGATCTTTCTTCAGCCGAAATATACAAGATGAGTGGCTTCCCTTAAATTGGTGCCCCCAAGACTGGTGGAGTTGACAAGTACTTTATTATACTATCAAAAGCTTTCTGACACAATTCATCCCATTCGAACGGAGCTCCTTTCTTCATAAGATGGCTAAATGGATGACATCTTCCAGCCAGATTACAAATGAAGCGTCGAATGTATGTAAGTTGTCCTTGGAGACCACGCAACTCTTTGAGATTCTTTGGTTCAGGCATGTTTTGAATCACGGCGATCTTTGAATAATCAATTTTAATCTCTTTATGCCTCACTACGAATCCTAGAAACTTGCCCGAGCTGACATCGAATGCACACTTCAAAGGTTTCATTTTCAGTTGATACCTTTGCAATTTCTCAAACACATCTCGCAAATGAAGTAAATGGTCCTCCTGCTTTTTTGACTTGACAACGAGGTCATCAACATAACATTCAACTATTTTGTGCATCATGTCTTCAAAAATTTTCTGCATCGCCCTTTGATAGGTAGCCCTTGCATTTTTCAGGCCAAAAGGCATCACCTTATAGAAAAATATTCCCTTTGGTGTACGAAAAGCAGTTGCTTCTTCGTCTTCAGGCGCCAAGAGAATTTTATTGTAACCCGTAGTGCAATCCATGAAGGATAAAGCCTCGTGTCCTGTTGTGGCGTCGATCATTATCTCAGTGACAGGGAAAGGGAAATCATCCTTTGGACACGCATTGTTAAGATCTCTGAAGTCTACACAAACACGTAAATGTTTGTTCTTTTTCCTTATAGGGACGATATTTGCAATCCAAGTTGGATATTTGACCTCACGAACGATGCCTGCATCGATGAGTTTATTGACTTCAGCTTCAATTTCAGGGATCAATTCAGGCCGAAAGCGTCGTTGAGGTTGTTTCTTTGATTAAATTCCCTTTTTGATCGCCAGACGATGAACTGCAATTTTAGGATCAAGCCCCATCATCTCTTTATAGCTCCATGCGAACACATCTTTGTACTCCATGAGCAGGTCGAAGTAAGATTTTTCCTCATCAGGAGAGAGTTGAGCACTTACATAGATAGGGCGTGGCTCATCCGTGTTACCAAGATTCAATTCCTTTAGATCATCAACAGTGGATTGCCCCCCGTCCTCGAGGGTCTTAGGGGCTTCTGTTGGATCCACCTCTCCATCCAAGATATTTTCTTCCGAGACAGTAACGTGGTTGGAAGTAGCAAGGATATTCTCACGGTCATCAGCTTCACAATCAGTCAGAACTTTTTGGCCGATGAGAATCAATGTACGTCCTTTCACACTAAGGGTTTCGACTGTCTTTACTTCCAATAGATCGAGGCGCTTCATGCGAGATGGGATAATTCTCTTGACATCATTCTCTAACTCAAATTTCTTCATGTTCCTTTTCTGCTGACATCGTGATTTAGAGATGGCTCCAGTGTTCTCTAGCCGGTTGAAGACGTTTATCCTATGCTTCTTGACTTGCATGTTTTGTGGGCGATGGTTGATGGGTTTGTTTGCCACTCTTAATCTTTTGAATATGCCCTTAGACTTCTTCATGCCTCTTGATTGACCACCCAATCTACTAAATATGGACTCTGATGAGTCAAGACTTGGACCCTCCAACCTATCAAAAACTGAATGATATGGTCTAGATGATGATGGTTGAATCCTATCGAAGACATAACCCCTTTGTTTTGATTGGTGTAGTTTTTTCACCTACACTTTCCTCAACTTCTTCCACCGCAATATATTGGGATGCTTGTACCGACTGTCTTCGAGCTGAGATCTTCACTGGTTGAGGTTTTGTGAAACCCAATCCAACTTTTTTCACCCAAACACGCTCACCTTATTGTTGCAGCTGCTGTTGAGATTTGTTGAGGCCGTAGGAGGCAGCATCGATGACCTTTCCCATGGGCTCTGGGTTAGAAAAATCGTACCCTGAGCTTTTCATCAATTTGTAAGCAACTGGGTCAAATCCTTCTTTCCTAGCGCTAGGCATCTCCGATATATTTTCAAGGCTTGCAGATGGTGGATTAGATATCTTTTGGTTGCTTACTCGTTGAGCTGGAAAAGTCGTGCTTTCATCTAATGAAGATAGCTTACTTTCAACTTTCTTAGGTGCGACATATACTTCACATTTTTCGAATGGAGTTTGTCCCTCCTTGCGACGTGACATAGGAATGTAACGTAGAACTTGAACATGTGAGTTAGACTTCACTTTTATGCTTTTTTTCTCATTGATTTCCTCAACCTTCTCACTCAAAACCTCCTTTGAAGGAGGGTCTTCTTTCGTTTGTTGCTTCTTCGGAGCTTGTTTTCCTGTGGAGGCTATCTCCAATGGCATCACTTCAACTGGCTCTTCTTAATCGATGTAGAACTTTGCATCAGCGAAATGAGATTCGGCCTCTAAGAAAGGTTTCACCTCTGCGCTCACCCTTCTTTCACCATTATTGTAATACTTGAAGCATTGATGCAAGGTTGATGCTACTACTCCGTTTTCGTGCATCCATGGTCGCCCTAACAACAAATTGTATGAAGTTTTTGAATCATTGACATGAAATATTGTTGTTGCAGTCATCTCTCCAACGATTAAATTGACTCTTATCATGTCGATGGCTCGTTGCCCCCCGAGGTTGAAACCTTGAATAATGAGGCAGCTTTGAGACAATCATCGTCGGTGATTCCTAACTTCCTCAAAGTAGACTTTGGCATGATATTCACTGTAGAGCCTCCATCTATGAGTATGCGATTAACCTTTTGTTTGCGGATGTATCCACAAACAAAAAGAGGTCTATTGTGATGTTTCGAACCAAGCATAAGATCTTCATCAGTGAATGCCAAAGATGCACTGCATGCTGCACATCGGTTAGGATGGTTCTCATAGATGCCTTGTTCGATATTTTCCTTTGATGTATAATGAGTGGGATTTTCTATAGCTCGTGCCATAGAGAATTGCATTTATTTTGGCAGAGACAAAGCTTGGCGCCATCCCATACGAGATGGGACTGTGTTTAACAACGCAAGAATCTTTGAGTCTTTTTCGGGATCTCCTGAATGATTGAGACTTATAGATGGTTGACTTTTCTCAGATCCATGTTTTACTTCCGCCGTGTAACAAGACACTACATCAACAGAAGATTCACTGAAATAATTTCGAGGGAAGAATTCGTCTAAAGTGATTGGCATCCAGGGCTTTACTTCTTCATGAGGGACAAGTAGAGCACGCCGCTTCCTTGTTCTTTTCATTTCCTCTGCCTTTCTGAGACCTCTCCTTGTTTGCTGGTGCTTTTTAGAAGGTTGTGAAATGGATGAAGTTGGCTACCTTGCCTTCCTCCTGGTTACCAACGTCCACCCTTCCTCTTCCTCTTCATACGGCAATGGAGTAGGATCTGAATGCAATGTTGGGCTAGACTTCATTACTTGTATGACAACAGGCTCCAAACTCCCAAACTGGATAATTTGTGCATGTCGTTCACATGGTGAAGCATCCACGGCGACTGTGGTATGATTGGATCCTTCTTTTTCATCTAAATCTAGCACAACCCTTCCTTCTTTTGCGAGCCTCATTATTTTCTCCTTGAGAGTGATGCATTTTTCGAGGGGATGACTCACCAATCTATGGTATCGACAATAGTTTGGATCAGATGATCTACCCATTTTCTTGGGACGTTTAGACTCAGGTAGCTCGATGATCTTTTTCTCGAGCAAGTCGTCTAGCATTCCTGACGAGTCTGAATCTGGAAATGGATACTTTTTTTCCTGCAATTCCTTTAAGGTGGGCTCTTCTCTCTTTGTATTTGCATCCTTCAAAGATGACTCTCTCTTTTGTTCACTCTTTGGCTTACCAGAAATTTTTACTAGAGAAGATGTGGTGGAGACTGCCAAAGACTCTTAGTAGATTTCTTGCCGGTCTTTTCCGTCTTCTTGAAATTATTTTTCTCTTTCCTGACGAGATCTAAAGAGCTTGTACCACAGCTTGAGATGCTTATCTCCATGTCGTGGGCTCGAGTTGCTAGTTCTTGAAAGGACCTTGGTTTTATCCCCTATATGATGTACAGCAGATCCCACTTCATCCCTTGGATACACATTTCGACAGCAGAGGTTTATGATAGACGATCTTTGCATTCTAGACTTAAAGCTCTCCATCGACTGATGTAGTCCAGAACTGGCCCATCTTCCCATTGTTCAGTCTTGGTTAATTGGGTCATGCTGACTATGCGTCGTGTACAGTAGAATCTCTTCTTAAACTCCTCCTCCATATCATCCCAACTATCGATGGACTCTCGAGGGAGATCAGTGTACCAATCGAACGCAATTCCCTTAAGGGAACGAACGAATTGTTTGACAAGCAAGTCTCCTGCCGTTCCAGCGTTGTTGCATGTCTCAATAAAATGAGCGATGTGCTGCTTGGGGTTGCCTTTCCCATCGAATTGCTGGAATTTTGGGGGTTGATAGCCTTTAGGTATCTTCAATTTGCTGATCCTTTTACTATATGGCTTCTCATACAGCTTCTTCTCGCGAGAACCTTCTCCTAGTTGGTTCTTGATAGCGTTTACTATCATATCCTGGATCTTGTGGATGGTGAATGGGGACTCGCTTTTAGCACTTTATTCGGAACTCTCTCCCTGGGAATCTACTTCTTCCTCTTTCGACGAATCACTTGCTTCCTTTGGACGTTTTTCAAGTTTTTTGTTTAAAGCAGAGATCTTCTCATTTTGTTACTTGATTTGCTCGTCTTTTTCTTCTCCATCCTTCATTAACTTTTGAAGGAGGCCCTTCAATTCGACAAGTTGTTCCTTAACGGTCTTGGATTCAATCACTATAACTGCAGCAACAGTTGTTTGTGATGATTGAGAAAACTCAATCATATCAGAAGTTCGTTGTGGAGTTGAAGGAGATGAGGCACAAATGCTTCCTTGATCTCCTTCGTCGAAGGCATCGAAAAGCGGGCTGGTATGGATAACCAACTTCTCAGATCTGGCAGGTGGAGTCCTCTCTGAGTCATGTGTAGAGGCGGAAGGTTCACCTTCAAGAGGAGGGAATGAATCAAACACCGGAATCTCATGAGAAGTGCAGATAAGGCTTGGTGGAAGTGACAGATTTGAGGAGGAACGTCCACGAGATCTTGTGCTTGGCTTAGTAGGGATGATAGCAGTTCGAAGTCTCGCGACAGCTTCCTGAAATTCGGCCCTCCTCTTCATTCCTCTAGTGCGCAAGCCGTCGTCCTTGAACAGTGCACCCAACTCCGCAGCCCTTTGCTGGGCGAAGGTGAGATCCTTGGCGGCGGATTGAGAGGTGTTGTTGTTTGAAGCCATTGTTGAAGACTTGACGTGGAAAAAGAGATGAGTGGTAGAGATGGTCCCACCGAGCGTGCCAAAAATTTGTAAACACAAATTTTGAGTGTGCAAAATAATCAAAATAAATGCAACAAATATAATTTTTTATTAATATAACAAATTTGAGTACAATATCTAATGTAATCCACTTATTCGATTTCCACGATACGCCGTTCGATGACTCGATTTGTTGTAGTCGAAACTGGAATTCCTTGATAGAGGGCCGAAAAGGCTTGATCTCGATCAAGGTTGGTCTTCTAGAATAGAACGACACGTTCGGTGCTTGTTGTTCTTCTTCTAGTTCTTGAGATTGGGTTTTAGACAAGTTTAGAGAGGATTTTTTAGTAGAGAGGTTTTTTTGTAGAGAGGTTTTTCTCTGGATTTTTCATGTGTGTGAAATGAGGGAGAAGAGTTCTATTTATAGAGTTCTCCTAAGCTAGGGTTTCAAGATGACCACTAAATGGGCCTCATATCCATTTCCACCTCCTTTCATAAATGACCCATTTAAATTAAATCAAATCCATTTTGTTGGACTTTATTATTAATTGCATGAGTTTAACTAAAATAAATAATACGGGGTAAAGTAACCCATATTAATTATATAGTCAATATATACGAGTCAACCGTTTGACTTTGACCCAAACAATATGTAACGACAACTGATAAAATTTCTGTGCCTACAACAATATCATTAGTTTCTGGGAGTTTATTAATACTTGTATTGAGAATTTAGATCTTTTAAAAAATGATTGTAAATGCCGAATGACTGATATTATTAAATGTAGGACTGAGCAAAACTATCGGAAAAACGAAAAACCCGAAAAATCAAATCGTAACCGTTCTGAAAATTAGGGCACCCGATCCGAATCAAAATGGTTTGGGTACCCGTTTCGATAATTTGTTATCGAGTATGATTATTGGGTGTCATTTTAAAATTAACGGTTACCCGATCCGATCCGATAAACATTTTTTTGCCTTTTGTTTTTCCCCATTTAAATCTATTTTTTTTAAAATCTAAACTCTTACTTTACATCATAACTAGATGTAAGCCCGTGCAATGCACGATTCTAATAAATTATTTTATTAATTTAAAATTTTGTATATTTATGAAGATCATTCATTAAATATACTGATAGAATAATTTCTAATATCATAAGATAATTTTTTAATTTTAACGCTAAAGTTATCTTTTGTTGTTTTATTAATTTTATGTGACGCTTGAATTTAAAATCTCAAACCTTATTCACTAATTTTTCTTATGTGACAATTTAAATTTTTAATTCATAAAATAAATGACAAACCTAGTTTTTTTATTGATAAAAATAAGTCTTTTGCCTATGCGTTTGTTTAATATACTCGTTCTGTTTAAAATGGCAGTCTCATTTATAATCGTTTAACTATTAAAAATTATGGGAAATTAGTCATATGAGATTTAGTTTTATTCGTCTCGATGAGTACATTATTAAAATCAAACTTTTATAATATTTTCCAGGGAAAGATTAAAAATATTTGCGATAAAAAAATTGCATCCATATAGATAATTATTACTTAGTTTTATTTTGTTTTTTTTATTTTTTATTTTTAAGAGAAGATAATTATTGGTTTTTTAAAGTACTTTAAATTTTATATATTCTCTATTCGTTGTTTTTACATATGTGTCAAAATTCTTAAATATTATTCGTCACTTTTGCTTAGGTGGCGAGTAAATTTTTTAATTCTAAAATAAATTATTACTCTAATTTTTCATTGGACAAAATAATACCTTTTCTTATGTGGCGCGCCAAACTCTCCCGAAAAATGCCTACTTTATTTATATGTATTAGATTAGATTACTTTATAATATCAATAATTATTAATGCTATTAATAACTAGTTTTGTGACCCGTGCGATGCCCGGGTTGTTTATTGAATTTCAAAAAAAAAAAAAATTCTAAAATATACTTCGTAAATGTTATTTATGCAACATTTTTATCTAAAATAAAATAGGGAAGAGATGATTTTATTTAAATAGGGGTGAGCATGTTGGGTATCCAAAAATCATATACGAAGTATCCAACCGTTTGGGTGGCTAATTGAGTATCCAAAAATCAGACTATACGTAGAGAAGAAAAACAGTTTAATCTCCACATATATATATATATATATATATATATATATATATATATATATATATATATATATATATATATATATATATATAACCCTAACCTTAAATTTTTATCTTAATAAATCAATCCAAAGTTCGCTCATATAGCATCATAAGTAACACAATAATAATTATTTGTCGCCTATGTGGTGTGATACTTGGCAAAAAACTGGAATAATGCCAAGTATCGCTATCTGGTGACCTGGTTGCGGCGAAAAAATGGAATGTCAAGTGGCGTTAGTTGTCTTGTGGCCCGGCTGCGAGACAATTTATTAGTGATATGATATGATATAGATAAAAAGTGTTAATTAAATATTTGAAAAAAAATTAGGGCTACAAATATTGTGGAAGCTGGTTTTAAAAAAAAAAAAAAACTAGAATGCCAAGTATAGCTATCTCGTGACCTCTCTTCTTTTTTTTCATTTTTTTTTATACAAATAGATCTCTAACTTAAACTAATGAGTGTACATTAATTAAGATGACTAAAATTGGAATAATATTAAATTGAATATATAATAATTACACCAATTGCTGCGTAATTTTGACATGTATTCCAAAATTAATACTCTACCCATTTGGATTCTTGGCACTATTTGTAATTAAGATGAGACAATCTTGAACATTACTGTACTTTTAATATATACAACATAATATAATATAGTGATAATGGAGAGAATACCATTTTAGAAAATATATTAAATCGTTATTTAATACCTAGGGGTGTTTGTTAAGAAACTAGACACAATAAGAGATATACTACCTCCATTTTAGGGTACATCCGATTTACATAAATATTAGTGCAAATTGAACAGTACTAGGTAAATTTTATTAGGGTTAACTTTTAACTTTTGTTTGGGGTTACTTTAAACCACATATGATTGCAAGATTTGCAACATACATAGACAATGGGATAAGTTTAACAAGCTATTTAAGGAGGCTTACTATTCACTAAAGCATAGATTAGTTTGACGTATATCACAATTTATATCTTACTCTTGGAGTACCATGCACACGGTACTCCAGGTTTTTAAAATTCATATTATTTTGATGTTAAATTGAAATTATATATATATATATATATATATATATATATATATATATATTTTGAAATAATATATTTATACATATATATATATATGTGTGTGTGTGTTATTTTTAAATAAATGCATGTTATTTCGCCTTTTTACTCGGTCATCTTCCTCCCACACTCACTCTCTTTCTTCCTCTCAGCTACTCCAACTCAAAATCACACACTTTCTCTTCCTTTCTTCTTCCAATTTTCTGGGCTTCCCAGAAATCAACCTCTCATTCTCACACTCTCTCTTCCTCTCACTACTCCAACTTCAAATCAAAGACACTTTCTCTCTCCTCTTTTCTTCTTCCAATTTTTTGGGTTTTGTAGAAATCAATTGATTTGAAGCCATTTAAGGGTTCAAATATGGTCATGTCCAGAAATTTAATACCTCCCGAAGTGTTCGATTCTCTTCATGATGTTTTAAAACTCAATGCTGCTAATGTTATTTTTGATGTGAACTTATTATTATTCAATATATATATATATATATGTGTGTGTGTGTGTGTGTGTGTGTGTGTATGTGTGTGTGTGTGTTATTTGTTATTTTATGTAAATTATAAATAGCATGAGTTGAGGTTGAAGTAGAATAGTAGATGAGTAAATAACATATTGTTGTAACCAAATAACACAATATTTAAGCACAATAACATAAAGTGTACGCAAAATAACTTAAACATATTGTGTAAGGAGTACCATGATCAATAGTACTCCAGGAGTTTATAATACTAATTGGACATATATTGGGGGCAACTTATTAATATCGGAAAAACTTTTGTTTATTTTTTATTTTATTTTTTTAATCATTTTAGGACATACAGTTTTAAAATGGATGTATAGTATTATTGTACACCATTTTTTATTTAAAAGTTTGTGTTGCAATGTTTGCCAAAAATGAATATGTTTTATATTGTTTGCAATATATTAAATATTTTCTTTTATTTTAAGTTGTCGTTTCTCTCCATCTCTCTTTATATCACATGCATCTCTATTACTCTCTTTTCGCTTA